TATATCATAGTGAAATCCAATATCTGACGATTATGTCTATTTAATCTGCTAAACTATTAATAGCTATAATGACCCTACACTTGACATCATCAGCTAAAGCGATTATAAATATCTCTCAGCTGCAGTTGAGAAAAAGGTAGAACCTAAGACTGCTCCTTGACTCTTCCTCTCATACCTTCATCTACTTTATTTATCTTTTCTCCCAAATTATTTTTTTCTCCGGCTCTCATAAAGAATCATCGATCAACGGCTGTCTTTGGATCAAATTTGAATTCTATAGACGAAAAAATAACCCTAGGAGAATATATTCTCTCCTAAACGAAATCCAATTTAATTTTATCTTAGACATAGATACTAATGGATTTGGTTTGATGCAATTGCAAAATCTCTTCTAAAATCTCTAAGATTTTATTCATATAAATCTGACCTAATATGGATTTCTAATCAATATGAGAAAGATATTACCTTGATCTCATTAATCACAAATCTCATCATACATAAAAAGAAATTCTCATCATACACAAATCTATTATTTGCCATTCTTTAATTGGTATGCTGATGTCTGTAGAAGCTCTGGAGGATGATATTGAAATTTTTATAATAATAGTATAATGTAGAGCGTAGGGGATAACGCATGACCTTTGATGTTAGTTTTGATTTGACATAGGTTATTGTGGGCAGGGATGATCATTGGTTGAGTTAGACTGGATTTTTGTTCATTTGAATCTGATTCGAATATAATATTCTTTTATTTGTTATTTGACTCGATCCGAATTTAGAGAAATTCTATCCGACCTGAAACTCATCTTAATTTTTAAGATAAAAACCCACACTTGATTCGACTTATATATATTTTTCATTTTTATTATGTAAAATAAGTCAATTACACTATTATTCTCGGTCCTAAATCCGATTTGACTTGATATAATGTGAATGCCACAATTACGTACTAAAAGAAGAACAATCTTTACTTGGTTGCTATTTGCTAAGCCTTCAAGATTCCGTCCATCGCCGATTGTAATATAAATCAGCTCTGGAACTTAATAGTATAGGAGAATAACTTATGGATCGTTTGTCGGCACGGACGTGGCCGGTGAATACGACATCGACTTGGTACTGGACAATGGCTTGTACACTACTCTCATAGTTTCCCCTTCTATGTAATGGAAGATGTAGTTGTTATGCTACGAGGAATGCATAAGAACTAGTAACCGTGGTGTTACACTTGTGTTAACTTTCGGCAGCTCTGCTTCAAGCCTTTTGTACCGAGGAATGTAAGCCTTTTGTACCCGACTCATCGGGCCGTGCCGTGCCGTGATGTATAAGCTAAAATTTGTCCTCTTTCGATACCGCAGGCTTGCAAAGTGCTGATGCCGAAGGTTCGTTTTTTTTTTGGGTACTCTGCTTATTTCACTTCAGCACCGTTTACAAGGTTCGCCACATGGCGAACTTCGAAGATCTACGTGCCGAAAATCGTCTACGATGATCCGAGTGCCTCGCAGCCTATGACTCAAACTCGGGTGGGAAAGCAATTGTGATGAAGTACATAGATGGTGGAATGCTCGATACACTTGTTAAGGCAAATGATCCTTTCTTTAAATTTTCGATTTCTCACATTGTCTATCAAATTCCAAGTGACCTCAATTATGAATTCAGTATGTTTATTTAAACATTAACCTTAAATTTATTTATTTTTTAATAAAAATCATTTCGATTCTCGATTAAAAAAAATCGATTCCAATCAAATAAGATTGAATCAAGATAGAGGAAAATTGTCATTAATAAAAATGTTAAATATTAATTCTAATATTCTATTCTATTCTATTCTATTCTATTATAATTAGTGATAATTTCATGATACTTTATTAAATATAATGATGATTTTATAATTTTAAAAAGTTTAATTATCGAGATAATGGTTTAATTATAAATGATCATGAGTTGATTAGGTTGAGTTTTTTGTTCATCCGAATTTGATAAAATAAAAACCTTTACTTGCACTTGATTCAATCAATGATTTAGGAGAGTTCCACCAACTCGAAACTAGACTCGATTTCTAGATTAAAATATGCATTTGATCTAATTGGACTCAACCTATATATATAATTATTTTTATTAGATAAATTAAAGACATAATTGAGAAAAGAAAACTATCAACAACAACAACAACAAAACCCAATTCCCATATGTATGGGCTAAGGGGGAGGTAGGGTAGTAGGCTGCCCCCAAACGCCAGGTTGAGAGTAGCTTCCGAGAAAGACCTCCGGCAGTCAGAAAATTAAAAATATAGATAAAATGCAATGCATGTATAAATAAATACATAAATACATAGCTAAACAGTATTCATATGCAGTCATTAAAATCATATGTGCGTCTGTAATGGGAATTAATCCCTGCAAAATAATCCATGCGAAAGAATCTCTGCATATAGACAGAAACATAAGACCCGACTAAATTTAAAAGAGGAAACATGAAGAGAATAATACACAGAAGTCAACGATATCAAGCCCAATTCTAATCCTTCATAAATACCAATAACAAAAACGTATAAAAAGTAGAAGTCATGGAAATTACTACAAAGGCATTAAAAGAAGACAGAGATGATACACCCTATAGATGTGACCCACATTACTCGACTACCCTAGTTTTTAGCCTCCATATTTTTCCTATCAGAGGTCATGTCTTCGGTAAGGGCTAAATCCATCAAATCAGATCTCAAGCAGTCTTCCCACTTCCGCCTTAGTCGACCTTTTCTTTCTGGCACCGTCGACTGTAATCGACTCTACCCTCCTGACCGTATCCGACGGTAGTCGCCTAAGGACATGCCCAAACCACCGTAGTCTTCCCTCCCTCAATTTTTTGGAAACAGACACCACCCCCAAGGACATCCTAATAGCAGAGTTTGTCGTCATATCCCACAGAGTCCTACCACATGTCCATCGAAGCATTCTCATTTCTACGGCCTCTATCCTCCTTACGTGATCCTTCTTGGTTACCCAACATTCTGATCCATACAACAGCGCTGGTCTTATTGCCATTCTATAAAATTTTCCCTTAAGTTTTAGAGGCACCTTCTTGTCACACAAAACTCCAGTAGCGGCCCTCCACTTTAGCCATCCCGCCTTTATACGGTGTGTAACGTCATCATCTACACCCCCATCTTTATGTATCATAGACCCTAGGTACTTGAAACAATCCTTTGAGGGGAGAACATGTCCTTCTATGCATACTTCTGCATCTTCATCGTTTTGGTTCCCATTGAAGTTTGAACATAAATACTCTGTCTTTTCAATATTGATCCTTAAACCTTTTTCTTCCAAAGCAATCTTCCAGGTAGTCAGTCTACTATTCAACTCAGATTTTGTTTCAGCAACTAGGACAATGTCGTCAGCGAAAAGCATACACCATGGTACACCGTCTGGTGTCGCACAATAGATGTCGTCCATAATCAAGGCGAAGATGTAAGGGCTAAGAGCTGACCCCTGGTGGAGTCCGATTTCCACCGGGAAAGCCTCGGTGTCGCCAACTGTAGTCATGACGTAAGTAGTAGATCATATCACGAATTGCCTGGATATAAGCAGTTGGGATCCGTCTCGTTTCCAAAGTCTTTCAGATCGTATCGCGGGGAACGCTATCATAAGCCTTCTCAAGGTCAATGAACGCCATGTGAAGATCTCCAGACTTTTCCCTATATTTCTCCATAAGCCGTCGAAGTAGATGAATCGCCTCCGTGGTAGACCTGCCTGGCATAAAGCCAAATTGGTTTTCCGAAACCCTAGTAACTTGTCTCAACCTAGCCTTTATCACCATTTCCCATAGCTTCATGGTATGGCTGAGTAGTTTAATACCTCTGTAGTTACCACAACGTTGGGGATCTCCTTTATTTTTATAGATTGGTATCACCGTAGACTCTCTCCACTCCTCTGGCATCTTGGCAGTCTCTAAAATAATATTAAAGATGTTGGTCAACCACTTAACTCCCTCTTCTCCTAGGGCCAACCACACAGTGATAGGAATTTGATCAGGACCGACAACTTTGTCCCTTCCCATCTTTCTAAGAGCCATTTTGGCTTCCTCAAACCCAATCCTACTTGTAGGGCAGTCATTGGCCGTAGTATGATAGTCGGCTGACCCATCAACGATATTATCTCTACATGTAGAGGCACCGTCATTAAATAAGCCAAAGAAGTAACTACCCCAAACCCTCTTAATATCGTGATCGTTCGCTAAAAGAACACCATTGTTGTCCTTAATAAACTTAATGTTACCTAGATCCTTTTTCCTAATCTCCCTAGATTTTGCAAGTCTGAAGATTCCATTTTGTCCTTCCTTGGTGTCTAATCTCTTGTACATTTCCTCGTATGCCTTATCCTTTGCTTTAGCTACCGTTTTCTTGGCTTCCCGCTTTGCCTCCTGGTATCTTTGTTTAGCTCTCGACCTTTCTTCGTCGTCATTGCATTGTAGAAACTCCTTGAAGCAAGTTTGTTTTGTCTTCACCTTAGTTTGGACTTCGTCGTTCCACCACCACGATTCTTTATGTTCCTTGGCCTTCCCCGTCGACAACTATCCTTAAATATATAAGAGATAACTATAACAGTTTGCTGAGTCAGTTTGAATTAAAAAGAAATATCCTAAACCTAAACTTAGTCCGAGTAAATTCACTCTTAAAAAAATTTGAACCAACTCGAACTTAAAATTTCAAAATAAAAGTTCAATCTAATAAAATTGGATCGGATCAAAAATCGTTGCATCGAAGTAAAATGCCATCCAAGTATGAGTCAATGACCTCGAGTGTATTTTATCCATTTTTTTATATTCCTAAAATATACCATCTGTCCCCCAACTCAATACTCATCGTCACCGAGAGAAAACTTGAGAAACACTAAACTCAACCACGGTTAAAATTTAAACCATAGTTAACTGACCATTGTCAAGGGAAGAACAAAAATACTAAACAAATAAACGGTCCAGATTAATCCACCGAACGAATCCAGCTGCTCACCTGAGAACTGAGATTAAGCTTGATTATTTCCTTTACATTTCCTTGCTCAGCTAAATTACAATTCGCAGGAATTGTTCTCTTCACAGATTCCATAAAATCTAAAGATCAGGGTTACTGTTTAGCTTGAGATGGAGATGGATTATGTTATCGAGTTTCCTCATATTCACATGGATCGCCATCCCATGAAGAGGCCTAGATTAGCTTGGGATTTTAATCAACCTCAGCAAAAGGTAGCTTTTTATTATTATTATTATATTATTATTATTATTATCTTTTTCAATTTTTTTTGGAACTTTCATTTACTGTCTGCTTCGTTAAGTTCCCTGCTGATTTGCTCTGATCATTAGCTTAATTATGCGAGATTTTCGCAGAAAAGGTGAATTTTTCATCTTTTGGGAGGTAAAGTTTATTTTTTTTTCAATTGGTTTTCTGGGTAAATTGATTATTCTTTTCAATTAACGTGTGAGAATAACGATATTTTTTTATGTATTGATCTTTATAACATTGAAGCATATTAGAAGTTTTCTGGTAACTTTTTGATCCTTTTGGTTATATGTTGTTAATATCTTCTTCTTTTTGTATCTCTATTATTATTGTTAGTGTTGATTCTCTAAAACTTTATTTCATATGAAAATATGTTAACTTGAGCCCGCCGGAAGATATGTTGCCCATGGTGAGACATCAAATTAGGAAATTTGATGGAAGGGGATGATAAGTTTTTGAATTACTATTTATTTTGTGGAGTGTGAATGGAATGGCTGTGTGTAGGCTCAGTCATGGGTTTATAATGGACAAGATGTTGGAAATTTGACGAGCTTTGGGCCTTCGAGGGCACACCCAGATCACACTTCTCTATTTGAAAAGGGATTAGCTCGAACAGTCTCTCCCCCTTGGCGAGATGATGACAAAGATGGGCATTACATGTTTGCACTTGGAGAAAATTTAACTTCTCGCTGTAATTACACTTAATCACCTATTGAAGAGCTTAATTCCGCATTTTGTTGTGTTCTATGGGACTGTTTTTATGATAGACTATTACAGGCTAGATGATATCTGAATACAAACATTGTAATATTGCCTCGTTTTCTTTTTGTCACTTGCCTTGATTTTTACTACCTGAAGGTTATTTTTGGATTAATTTTAGAGATTAGCCTAGCCAATGAATTTTCATATTGGCTTACAGTTATATTTTTAAGGATGCTTAAATCTCTTTTATTTCATCGTGTCATAAATTTTTGGAGTAGCTGGACCCCTTTTAGAAACTACCTTCCTGTTATGGAGAAAGTCAATTTTTGAATGGCACTAGTTCATTTTCTTTGTTGTAGCTTTTTATCTATTCCACCTCCTCAAGATAATTCTCTTTTTTAGAAGGAAAGAAAGAAAGAAGGGGATGGGATCTTTTCCCGATCCTACTACATTCAGAATCTCTGTGTTTTAGAAACCCAACATTATAATTTCCCTTCTACCATCAAACTGTTTTAACAAGATATACATCTACATTTTTAGCTGCTCTACTATTGTTTCTTCCCAAAATCAAACCTTTTCTTACAGCTTATGGTTTTTGGCTTTTGTTTTTGCAGACAAGATCTACCGAAAAGTTGGCGAAGGTAGTTTTTTACTTCGTATACTGTTCTTTCTTGCTTTGTGTTCTTGTTTTGTTGACATCTTTGTTAATGTCGTTCTTGTGTTGCTATTCATCCTTTTTATTCTACAGGCACCTTTGGTCAGGTTCTGGAATGCTTGGACAGGGAAACTAAAGAGATGGTTGCCATAAAAGTTGTTCGAAGTATCAAAAAATACAGGGAAGCTGCAATGATGGAACTTGAGGTACTTCAGTATCTTGGTAAACACGATAGGAATGGTGGTCGGTGAGTGTTACTCAAATAATTATCCCCATTTTGTCTTGGTTTTTTTGTTGTCTTTGTCTCATTGGTTGAATGGGCTTTATCTTTTGCAGCTGTGTTCAGTTACTCAACTGGTTTGATTATCGCAATCATATCTGCATTGTAAGTATACCATCTAGCACAGTATTCTTCAACATTTTGAATAGTTTAGGAGTTAAGACTTGTATGTGGATTTAAATGTCCTCTACAGGTATTTGAGATGCTTGGACCAAGCTTATACGATTTTCTTCAGAAAAATAATTATCGCCCCTTTCCGGTTGACCTTGTCCGGGAACTTGGCAGACAACTTTTGGAATGTGTAGCATGTGTGTAGATATAACTCCTGCCATCTCTCCTTTTCTTTTCGAAGTTGGTGGCGAGTAGCAATGGTTTTCTTGAGTTGCATGATCCGGTTTTTGCAACTAAAAAATTAGTTGCTGCTCCTTTTGGGCATTTTTTTGTTGTTTATTCATTCATTTATACATTTAGTAGTTTATAGCTTTATCTGTTATCACCTCATATGTGGACATTTGTTTCCCACAACATAAGACGCACACTGTTTAGGTTAAGACCACTTTTTAAATAGTAATAATTGCTTTTATCTGATTCTTATTTGCTTATATATTGTATGCAGTTATACATGATTTACATCTCATCCATACTGACTTGAAGCCCGAGAATATACTCTTTGTTTCTCCAGAATATGTGAAAATACCTGATGAGGTATATTCAGTGATCTTTGCCAATTTTTTTAGTTCTCTGTTGATAATTTTTTATGTTGACAACACAATCATTGTCTTCTGCAATCGACTGCTTCTTGCTACCAAGGACGGGAGGTGTATGACATTTATATCTAACAATCATACTCTTGTATATTTTTTGCTTAATCTATTGCAACAGGTTATCTCCTGTTCAGCAATAAGGGACACATGCCATAGGAGGTTACCAAAATCAAGTGCCATCAAGGTTATTGATTTGGGTAGTGCAGTATTTGAACACCAAGATCACAATTACATTGTCTCCACGAGGCACTACCGAGCACCTGAGGTTATTCTTGGTACGATGACATTGTCCTTTTCACTGCCCTCATGTTATCCATCTGTGAGACATAGCGTGAGCTTATACATCTTTTCAGGATTAGGATGGGGCTACCCATGTGACTTATGGAGTGTTGGTTGTATCTTGGTGGAACTTTGCTCGGTACATTTATTGTTTAAAAGTATATTATTGTGAATTTCCATGCTAGATGGTAAGGAATGGCCCTAATATTGTTGTATACAGGGAGAAGCCTTGTTTCAAACACATGAGAACTTGGAGCACCTAGCAATGATGGAGAGGGTTTTGGGTCCTTTGCCCCAGCACATGTTGAAAAGAGCGCAGTATGAACTCTTTCGGATATATATATATTCTTATGGGTGATGCAGAATTTTTATGTTGCTTTTTTTATTAACTTCTTTGTGCAGTCGACATGCTGAGAAATATGTCAAGAAAGGTAAGCTGGGTTGGCCAACGGCTGCTACCTCTACAGAAAGCATTAAAGCTGTTATAAAGTTGCCTCGTCTTCAGGTGTGTTGTTGGCGACTATGATGAATCTGTAGGTATGTTATCATCGATTCCGATTTAATGTAGATTTATATTCTTCTGGCAGAATCTGGTGATGCAACATGTAGATCATTCTGCGGGGTATCTGATTGACTTGTTGCAAGGTCTTCTTAAATTTGACCCTGGCAGTCGATTAACTGCTCGGGAAGCCCTCAGGCACCCCTTCTTCACTAAAGATCATTTCCAGAGATTCTAAGTTTTTCCCTTTCTCCCCTTCTCCAACACTGGTAGGCCTGTAAATGAACTGAACGTTCAGCGAACCGTTCATGAACCGTGCGGCGAGAAGTTCGTTTATGTGTGTTTATTTATTAAATGAACGAACATGAACAAGATTTTTTGTTCGTTTAATTAAATGAACGAACATGAACATAGGTCTCGTTCGTTCATTTACGTTCGTGAACGTTCGGTTATGTTCGTTCGGTTATGTTCGTTCGATTATGTTCGTTTATGTTCATTCATTTATGTTTAACCCAATCTTCTTAAATCAATTTTGGTGACCAATTTGTAAGTATATTAAAAATATTAATTAATATGATATTCTGATGACCAACTCCATAATTAATCTAATTTTATTTGGAGATTAAATCCAATATGTTATCCTGTGAGGCACCTCGCACCTATATTCATTTCCCTTTTTTTTTCCCAAATCCTAGTGTTCACTAGAGAGCTGAAAGCTTCAAAACAAGTTATATTATAGTGCAATATGAAGTTTTACATGTTTGTTTTCATCTCTTTCTCTGTTTTATTTGGCTTAATAGTTGATATGTAAAGTTATTGCAGGTATCTTCACATCTAAAACTCAAGAAAACATCATACTTCTTTCTAGAAATAGATGTGAATATAAAGGTAACAATCGGAAGTATACGAGCATCAGTAAAGAGAAAAATATATAGAATTTACCAGAAAACAAAACAAAGGTTTCTATGCCATTTCTGAAAAAGAGTGTAATAGGAGAAAATGATTGTTCATATGTAATCATGGACCACTAAGATAAATGTTATAGCGTTAAATTAAAGTTGTGTGAATCATTTAATATCTTTAAAAGATCGATCGAAATATTTGATATCTTCAAACATTTCATCACTGCTAATCATCTCTTACGCTATTTATTACTGTAGATTTGGTTGATTTGCATTGTCGATTATTTTTCATGAAAGAACAATGGAAGGTAGGGTCTCCAACGTTTATGTTTGTTTATGTTCGTGTTCATTTATGTTCGTGTTCGTTTATGTTCGTGTTCGTTTATGTTCGTGTTCGTTTATGTTCGTTTATTTATTAAATGAACGAATATGAACAAATTATATTCCTTAATAAACGAACATGAACAAAAAAAATTTTGTTCGTTTATGTTCGTGTTCGTTTATGTTCGTCTATTTATTAAATGAACGAACATGAACATACCTCCGTTCGTGTGCGTTCGGTTCGTTTACAGACCTAAACACTGGTTTTAATTGTGCTTGCTCAAGTATGTATATTGATGGTAGGCTTAGGCAAGAGGGGCTTGCTGTTGATGAAATTAAAATGCTAAAACTCTTCTTATTGTCAGGAAAGACCTACTCATGAACATATAGAAAAAAAAGTTAATTATAATATACCATATTGGCTTAAATCTTCGCTTTGTATCGAGTTACCTCTAAAGTATTTCTTCGAGACATTTTGCCCCTTGCTCAGAAACGTTAACTTTGTTAGAAAAAAATAACCAATCATAGTGTCGAATCTTTACCCAATTTTTATTTTTTTTTAATCTGAGTAAATAAAAGATGTACTTAAATTATTTATTTTGTATGGAGTTGTCTTCAAAAGTATAAATACTTTTTGGATTTATCAATCGGACTCGTCAAAACACGTCACCACACTTGATTTTGATTTTCTTTTCTATCTGAATAAATAAAATTGCCTTTCTCTCATCTTCAAAGGTTCAAAAACAATTCGGCAAATACACTTAAAACTGATGCTCGCAATATTGCTCAGATCCCATTCTGTGCTCTTAAGAAGGCCACGGTGGGGCCAAGGGCACTGCGTCTCAGGGCCCGATATGACCAGCCACTCCTACCCGAATTATCTGCTCCACTCCAACCGTCCTCTTTAGAGAGCTCTGCCTTCTTTGCAGTCAAGGCCTCGTTAATTTCGTCCCACACATTTACTGCACCATTAGCTGCTAGAAAACATGAAAAGGGGACATGAGTTGTAAAATCAATAACCTGATGTTTGACACGCTGAGTTTTATCCATACCTTGTGCAGTAGGTGCGGCGGAGAAGGTGGCTGCTTCCTTGCTACCATTTGGCTGTATCGTTAACGCATCCTGATCATGTGCACAATTTTCATTGCTGCCATCGGCAATTGTGTTTGTGGTGTTCGAATTGCCACGCTTGACAAGGCGGACATCAATTAGAGAGGAATAATCTATCTGAGAAAAGGAAAAAAGGCTACATTCGTAAGCTTCCTGCACTCTGGAACAAAGCATAAAAGCAACAAGAATAAAACAGCAGCTGGGACACAGGAAAACAAAGGAATCCCTCATCAAATGAGGAATGTATAGCTCCAGTTACATACCTCTAATGACCCATCTTCTCCGTAAAGAGATGTATCTGGTAGCTCAGAAGCCTCCTGATCTATTCTCTTCTCGGAAGCATTTGGATATCCTGGCACTGGTGTCAGCTTAATCGTGTTGGATTCAGCATTGTAATGCGATATTTCTCCAACCTATGAGCAGAATTAGGTAGATACAAAACTCAATACCAATAAGATTGGGAACTATAAAACAACAAAAGTTAGATAAGTGCATTACTCGGTAGGAGCAAAGCTCAGGGGTCCAAGTTGATGATAGCTCAATTAGGCGATATGCAACTAAATCTCCCTCCTGCATATATATATATATATTTAAAACAAAAAAAACATTGCTTCGATCTATGAAGAAAATTAATACAAAATAAATATAAGGCAAAATAACAAAATATACCTTAGGCGAGCTAGAATAGGTCGTAAACTTGTCAAAGTCCATGCCATCAGTTACTGTGGCGTTTTCGTTATCATCCTCCTCCATTTCAGAACTCACTTGACTAAAACTGTTATCATTCCTTCTCACACGAGGAGTCTTCTCCATACCCCATTTTTGACCTTTCTTCTTGCTGGTTATTCCATTCCATTGAAAGATTTTCTGGCCATGACCAAACAACAAATTTAACATCAATGAAAACATCAGAGCCATCTGAATAAGAACCCATGTAGGAAAATGTTAGCGCATCTACAAATGAATGAATCAGATTAGCTCTATTTCCCTCTTTTTCAAGTAAACCGTGCACCTGAAAATAAAGGAAATATGTTATGCAGATATATGTAAGCAAGAAATGCAGAAAAGTTGGTCTGATATAACCAAAATCTCATCTTCACCTCCAAACCAACCCCTCCCTCCCCTCCCCTGTCAAGATAAGATCACCATCTAATGGAAATAATCTCTGTGCCATCATCTTTCTGTTCCATAATTCCGCAGGACAGTACACCTCAAAGCAATTTCACAACAAAAAGAGAAAAAAAGAGGAGCCATGGTGAAGTTCACAAGCTATAAAAAATACCAATAAAACATACCACTGGAATTTGACTTTGTTGGACAGCTTGCTCTGCATCTTCTGGAAAACAACACATGTCAGAACATTGTAAACTATTTCTCAAGCTTTATGTTGTAATTCCAGACTGTGAATCACTAGTATCACCCGGCTAAGCCTCAAGAACTAGAAAGGGATGAAACCAATACCTTCTTCAAGGGGCTCAAAGCGAATATGTCCTGGCCTTACTACTACTGGAACCACGTTATCCTCGACAACATTCTTGCTAATTGGTTGTTGATAGTCTTTTGAAAATTTGAGGTTCTCTTTTTCAGGTGATTGCTGATCATCTTTTCCATGCAGCTGTTTTGATTGCAGCTGCAAATCAGATCAAACATAGTTATCATTATAGTCAATGATGTAGGAGTTCCTTTTTCCTAAAGGCATATAGGTATGGACAAACAAACCATACAAATGCTTTATTAGTTTACAAAATTTATGTCTTACCAAACAGTGTAAGAAATATTGCAATCAAGTGTCTGCATGCGTTCATATACTAGAATACGTAAGCTGTAACCTTTATTTTTCACCTTACTATAAACGAAAAATCACACCAACTCTCAATTACATCCATGTATAGCATGTTCATAGGCATATAAAGCCAAAATAAATAAATAAAGTATATTACTTGGCCATCTATCTATGGTAAATAAGAAAATCTCTGAATCATCAACTTGAATCATTTATGTGTAGGCATTATTTCTCTATTGATAGAACTTCTTGTCTGAAGACCAGAAAACCTGACCTTAAAAGGCCCAAAATAACTTAACAATATTTCTAAAGACTAATTACCTTCTCCTTTTCAATTTTGGCCTGCTCCCTCAACCATCGCCTTTTAGCCTTTTTGCGCCGTGCACTTCTACTAGGGAGCTGGAAAGTAAGAAATTAAACAGAAGGATTGGTTGTGTTATAACTGGAATAGGGATAGAGAAATAGGCCAGCAAGATCGGTTGACGAAACTGAAAATTATGATATTATCAAGCAACCAAGAAAGTAAAATTCTAAATTCTGAGCCAGGAAGATTAACCATCAACATCTAACTATGTTATGTGGCACGGATGTATGCATTAGGTAGCTGCATAGCCTGGGTTTATTGCTCTTGCTAACAACGGCATTGACTCTTCATGGACACAACAAACTTCATAAACCATTTTTCTAAAAGATAAGATACCATCTCAGGACATTGATGAATCTAACTAGAAACTACTAATTTATTCCATTCAAAACAATAGCGTCAATGATAACCTTTTTAACTTCAGCAGTTGTCATAGGTTCACCGTCGCCCCCTTTACTAGTATTTTGAGGCTGGGAGGACCTGTAAAACAGAATCAATCGAATGAAAAAAATACCCTTCCACAATGCAGTAAGAGAAGCAGTGAAAAGGAAAAAAAATTCTGATGCATAGGACGGGTATATCAAATTGGGTTTATTACTTTATAGTTTATCCACACACACAAGCATTTTGCACAAAAGGTGAACCAAAACCAAAATGAGTGATATAAAAATAATAGAACTCCAAACAATATTTTAACTACATTATCAAGATAGATATTACCTCCCCAAATTGGTTTGATCATCAATACTTTCAACAATTTCCGGGCCACTTGCATTCTCTGGTTCTCCCTGTATGTCAATTGGCTTGTCCTTCTCAACAACCTTTTGTTTATGAGATCTTTTCCTTTTCTTCGGACGAATATCAATTCCATCATCTCCAGAAACCGGAGATTTCTCAGAACAAGCCAATTTGTTTTTCTTCTTCCTAAAAATAAATGTAGCGTAAAGTCCAAACTAAAAATGATAAGCAATTATTAGAGCGGGTATCTAACAAACCAAGTAAAATAAGAAGTTTAATGAAATTGTATAAAGTAATTTACCTCGAGCTTGGAAGTTTATCCCGACTCTTCCTTTTCTTCGAAACCATATTCTCCATTGGTGTGCTTTCAACTTGTGCCTGATTCTCCAATGGCACAAGTTCTCGTTCATCTTCTTCCGATTCACTTTCATATCCCCCGGTTTCCTTATCAATTTCCTCATTAGCTAGAAGTTTGCCGCCATTATTCACATCAAATCTTTCTACAAATTCTGATTCTTCCAAAAGGTTGAAATCATTAACAGACTTGATAATCTCTGTCGATTTCCTTCCTTTCTTCTTCACACTGTTTTCATAATAAACAAAAAAAATAACTATACAAAAGAAAGCATGCACAACTTACAAGAGCTAAAAAGACTAACCTGACAATATCTTTATCTTTTAAAATACAAATCGATTCGAAAGGAGGCAAAGCAAAGCCATCCATCTGCAATGAAAAGTTAATGGAGTGACAAAGCAATATATGTACAAATTAGGGTACGAACAATCTGAGATGGATAGAGAGACTTACGTAGAGGATGAGGCCGTTGGGGCAAGATTCTCGGAGGTCGAAAATGTCGATAAGATCAGAGGTGAGATCGAAGATGGTTTGATGTTGGGGTTTAAGGAGAAACCAGCTTCGTTTTAGGTCTTGTTTCTTCTGCGACTTGCTGAGAATGTTCGGATCCTCGAACACCAAACGAAGCCGGCACGTCCCCATTTTCGATGACTGAGCAAATGTGCAGAGAAATAAGAATGTGAACTTCTCTGTTTGGCCTCCGTTTCATAAACCCTCCGCCGTGGTTTTGTGGTTTTTCTACTGTGAGTTAACCACTGTCGAGAATGAATGACTCATGAGTTATCTGAGTCCGCTCAAAAGGTTTTGGGCTGTCTGGCTGATGGGTCACAAAGCTGGCTCGTGGATTTATTATTTTTCTTAGGCTGAAACTCAGTATTCGAACTACGGCCCATAAAGCATAGGGTTGGTATTTGACAAAGGGATAAAAGTTGTGTAAAATACATAAATGGTCACTAAACTATGCTCAAATGATTTTTTGGGTCATTTAAGTTTCAAAAATTACAACATGTGTTATTAAACTTCACATATTTAATTTATTTTTTTAATAGTCTGGGATGATTACAAGGCAATATATGTTCAATATCTTTTATAATCATTGACAATGCGTACACGTCCTACAGACACTACTGCTCAAACACATATCCTCTAAGTATAACAACATTATTTTTTATTACTAAGGTCACTCAATGAGTTATTATATCTATTTTTTTATCTATATTACTCGTATAACTTATATTTTTTTATCCATTTTTAATATTTTAATAATTATATGGCATAATATTAGAGTGTCGTATCATCAAAAAGATTAAATAGAACAAATTATAAAATTCATTGACTAATATAGACTTAACCAAAGTTTAAAAATAGTTTAATCAAATTTTATATAAATTAATTTTAAAATAAATTAATGAGTTAATAATTTTAGATTAAATTCATAATTCACGTATAATGTAGGGAATGATGATAAAAATTGATATGTAACAAAAGTTTTTCTTGAACTACAAGGGAAATAATTAGGGGTGAATATTTTGATCTAAATTAGATGGATTTTAATTCAATTAGATTTTATAAGATTATTTTAAATCATATAAGGTCAGATTTAAAATAATAAGTATTTGACTTAATTTAATATGAAATATAATATAATTATCTCTTAAATATTTAGAAATAATTATAATAATGTATCTCTATTTTTTAATTAAATCAAAATAATATATATATTGGATCATGTCCTGGCGTTGGGGGCAGCCTACTACCCTACCTCCCCCTTACCCCATTACATATGAGAATTGAGTTTTGTTGTTGTTGTTGTATGTTGGATCATGTACATTTTCATTCAAAAATCAGATTAGGTGAAATCTTCTAAACCTTAGTTCGATCAAATCAAATGACGAATAAGAAAATATTAAGGTTTAATGTAAAAATAATTGTCCAAATTATAACTAAAGTTAACTTTATGTATCTAGAGAATTTTTCATTAAGTATATGTGTCTAACGTTTCTAGCGTTACATTTTTAAGTGTTTGGACCATTATGTTAAATTCTACTGTTAACTGATATGGGTCGGACTTATAAAATGTCAAAAAAAATTATAAACATGACACATGTCACTTAACGACTAAATTTAACAATAAGCGTCTAAAAGTATAACGAAAATATTAAACATGTATTTTTAATAAAAAAAACATACATTTAAATTTAACTTTAAATTTTAAACATTTATTTTTATATTAAGTGAAAATATAATCAAATTCATGGGAGTCAATAATTGACAAAAACCGACCTATCCCTTCGGTCTAAAACGCAGAAGTCAAATAGTACAATCACTTCCACGGTTACATACAGGTACACCTATTAGTTATCACCTTTTCCCACTATAATTTCTTATTGGAATGTGCATTGCACTTCCCTTCTTGCGCGTCTAAAGTTGTATCAACTCATTGACTTCGGATATTTTTTTCTCACAAAGCGTAACGACTAACGGCGCAAATATAAATAAGTCATAACTGAAACCCGCTCTTAAGCTTCATCGATTGCAATCGGAGCTCCGGATCTATTAACGGATTTCATTTTCCCTCTCTTTTATACACATCTCTCTCATTTTTCTCTTTAATTTTTGGCTTAAATACATTATTGCCCCTTAAATTTTATCGAATTAACCTTTAAAATATTGTTCGAGATATTTTATTCTATTTATTCCAAATCGTTAATCCCGATAAAAAATAGTGAGTAATCGGAACACAACACATCATCACTTAATTTAATTTTCTTTTTTAATATAAAAAAAGTTAAAAATAAAATAAATAATATTTTAATAATTAAAAATAAAACAAAAATTGTTTCCTTTCTCCATGCCGCCGCGAGACCTACCAAACCCATAGACACTGCTACTCCGACCGCCGGGCTCCCTCGTCCCACCATCACCAGAGACGCCGAGCACCCCAACCTTCTCATACTCAAAAAACCCCCAAGATAGAAGTCAACTCCCCACAGATCGATGAGTCCTTCTCCCTCCGACCACCATCCACGGTGGTCGGGAACACCAACGAACGAGACCTTCCGCCGACCTCAATACGTTGAACGCTCGAACCAAGCAAGGTAATGAAACCCTCACCCCCTCCTTTCTAATCTGCTTCGAAAATAAAAGAACAAAAAAGGCTACTGAAAATCAAAAGAATGGCCAAATACCTTGAAAATGTATGTGTTTGTATTGCTTGTTCGGTTTTTACAAAAAAAAAAAAAAGGGGAAGACTTTACAAAGTTCTCTGCCTCGAATGGGGAAGAGCTTCTTTGATAATTTCCTTCTTTCAAACTCAAATTCCAATTTTGAAATGGGTTTCATGTATGGTTCATTGTCCAGATTTGCCAATCCATGGAAATATGGATCGGCTAATGCCTGCATGAAAAAAAAATCATAAGAGTTATGAAATATAATGGAGTACAAGGAGAGAGGATTTAAATCTTAAACTATTGGAACCCCTGGAGTTTACCTCTTATGCAGTTGGAAGCTCACTGGGATCGAATGCGATCAAACGCTCAAGTAATTTGAGGGCCAATGGATCTTTATTTGGGAATTTTTCTGTGAAAGGAATTGGTTTCTTTTTTCTCAAGGTATTCAAATAATTTTTATTCATTCTTAATATGCAGATATTATGAACAATCAACATGGTTAGAAAAGATATTGTCCTCCATTTTTCTTCAAATCACTCGATCACAGTTCATGTTCAGATTGATTACCAGAACCCATATATGGCATGTGAATTTTTCCAATTGTCTGTTTCCTGTAGAGGGTAAGGTTGTTCTTAAGTGGGTGTTTATGTAGTGTAAAATACAATAGATCATGCAATGTGTGTCTCTCACTCTGCTGGGAATTGAGTTTAGGGTTCCATCTTAGAATGGAATTTTTTACTGAGTTCCGAACAGATATTTGGCTTCTGAGTTGAGCTTTTGCATCTTTTTCATGCATTAAATTCACATGTACTGTTGTATTATAAAATTTATTTTATTTATGAACACACAAGCCAACTGAATTTTGACTAAAATGTATTCTTGGTTATTTTACCATAAGCATTGGGACTTGTGAGTTGGAGTATAGGGCTTCATCTTAGAAATGAATTTTTGACCGAGTTCAGAACAGAGGTTTGGCTTCTGAATCAAGCTTTTGCAGCTTTTTCATGCATTAAATTAACATGCACTATTGTATTCCAAAATTTATTTCATTTATGAATACACAGCCAACTGAATTGTGACTTAAATCCATTCTTGGTTATGTTACCATATAAGCATTGGGGCTTGTTGAATGAGAAGCTGTTATTATTATTTTTCCTTTCTTGGTGAGTTAGGGGAGTAAAATTATGTTTTTCTTTCCATTTTTTGGCCCAGGGGATTCTTCTTTCTATTAACATTCTCTGGATAGCTAAGCTTAGTTCTTTGCATATTCGTAAATTTACATGCATTTAGTAGATTGAAAATGCTAAAATTCAATGTTGCTGTTGGTTTGTTATCTTTGCCACTTTTTGCCTTCTGTTGCACGAAGACAACAAAGATTGAGTCCTTAAAAATGTTCAGAAGTTGCTTATGTACTGAAATAGTGATATTCTCTGAGATTAATGTTGAGCATATGTAAGTAGCATGTGCACTGGTAGCCGGTAGGTCACATAGGAGACAGTTACCTATTGCCTTTAAATTTGTTTTTATTGGTCCAAGATTAAAGTCATGATGATATTACTGCCATGTCCTTCCGTCAAAGCAGTTTTGTTAAAACACTGCTAGGCTTCGACTCTTCTTTATGGTTCTTAAAGTGCGTTGTTATTTCTTTGATGCTTATATGTGCTTTTTTTAAGTCATTATGTGATATTTCAAGCTTGCTTTCATTCTTTTGCGAGATTATTAATGCAAATGGTTATAAGCTCTGCTTATTTATCAGTTTCATTTTGTGATATTCCATTTTTCTGTTCTAACAGAATGCTTTGCTGTATTGATGTGATCCATTGTGATTTTCTGTGTGAGGCTGTAATGTAGATGGATTCAGATGCTCTAATTGTTCTACGGAATTGCTTGTCATCGTGTGTAAATCCATTTTGTTCCTTTCCTGTTTGCAAGCAACTTTTGAATATATAATTTAAAGAAACCAAAGAGGAAAAGATATTGAAAGAAGAAATAGATAATTTAAAGAAGGAACTTGAGAAAAATTCGACACCGAGTTCAGAACCTGCCGGGGACCAACACTCTTTACATGAAAAACTTCTGCACAAGGAAAGGGAATTAGAGATGCTAATCAAAGATTTAGGGAACAAAATTAGATTTGGGCAGAAAGCTGTTGAAAGGCCTGGATCTGGAGCTGGCAGGACTGGCAGCTTCCCTGATGGACCTCCTTCTCAGTCTGGATCTATTGATGGCTCTAGAAGTGTGGAGTTCACGGATAGGCCTAGATCTCGTGGTACTGCAGCTGCATGGACAATGCCTGGTGATGAGCGAAGAGGATTTCAAGGTGGCAGGGATAGAGGATTTCAAGGAAACAGAGATATGGAAAGGTAAGGGTATAAAATATCAGCAGTTAAATCTCTCATGCCTTTCCTCCCAATCTTCATGGAAAACTTGGCCTCCTTGTCTCCCCCCCCCCCATTTTATTGATATAAATAATTAGTAGAATTTGCAAGTTTAAGACTGATATATTCAAATGTCCTTTTTCATGCATCTTTGAAGCTTTTCTTTTTTCTTTTTTGGTTTTTAGTGAACTAGAAACCGATATTTTTAAGATGCATTTTTATTTGTCTCTGTCTAGGACCGATACATGTTAACCGAATGAAGCATTCGCTGTTACTCTAATCCTTTCTCCGTTTGATGTCCTGTCATTGCCACTTGTTATGCTCTTTTGCACATTGTAATACCAGGGTCTGCAACAATGCACATCTGCACACAGAAATCAGATTAATGAAATCATGGTATTATTTTTTTAATATGGCAGGCCAAGATCAAGGGAGAGATGGTGAACCGCAATCGGAATTGCTTTGTCGAATTCCGTCAAATAACCTTTGACGACATGGACCAATAATCTTTTGTTACCTTATTGCTCCTGGTAAAGTGGAGCAAGGATTCTCGAGTATTGTAACAAGGAACCATGCATTATTCTCTCTCGGTGCTCTCATGTAAAATGGCCTTTCCTCCCCTTCTTTTTGGCTATTTTTATTTTATTTGTTCTTTCTAGAGCAATGGGACTCGAATTTTGCTTAAGAAACATTGTGTGGTTCACCAGTTTTATCTTTAATATTCCTTTGGAATGCTATACGGAAGGGTCTTATCTTTAATGTCCCATGAATTTAAGTTGTAATTTTAAAGAAGAAAGTGACTCACCATACTATAATCGAGTTAATAGTTTATTGATCTTAGGGTAATTTATCCAAAATAATAATAACAAAAAATAATAGACAAATGACAGTATTTTTATATAGACATACAACTTTTAAAATTCAAATTTGACAATTTTGTCTTACGTTCTTGATTTCTTTAATTAGATCTTAAATCTAAACTTAAAAAACCCGGAGATTCTATCACGTGATATAATCAAATCCCAGTGTAAAATATCATCAAAATGACTAAAATGAGAAAAATTACCTAATTTTGGAACTAATGTGGAAGAAAAACTCAAGGACAACGTTGCAAAATGTTTCAAGTTATGAGGTTAAAATGCTGTTTTATCCAGTTCCTATAATACATTATACTATAAATATTGTAGTACTAGGCCATCATCTTCATCACTGACTTGCAAAATCTCTCTTTGCAATCTTCTTTGTTTCTTCTCTTACGTATGGCTTGTGATCGATCCTCCATTCTAGTTTTCTCTATATTTGTTCTCTCCTCAATGAACCTTAATACACCGTCGGCGGTGATTGCTAAAAACAATGTCATTTCCCAGCAATATTCAACTTCGGCGACTCCAACTCCGACACCGGAGGCTTGTCAGCTGCATTCGGTCAAGCTCCTCCTCCTAATGGAATGTCTTACTTTGGCCACCCCGCCGGCCGCTACTGCGATGGCCGCCTTGTCATAAACTTCATAGGTACCCTTTTTTCTCTTGTATATTTCTTAGCATTCAACTGATAATTATAGCAACAAAAAAAGAGTTGTTTCACCATAGTTAACTTTCTCAGTCATCGGTCATTTTCTTTTCCTCTTAAGCAAACCACCCTAAACAAGAAAGATTACTGATTATGAACATTTTTTGTTCAGCTGAGAGCCTGGGTTTACCATATCTAAGTGCATTTCTCGACTCCCTGGGAACCAACTTCACACATGGAGCCAACTTTGCCACTGCTGGTTCAACCATTAGACCTCAAAACACTAGCAGGCAACAAAGTGGTTTGAGCCCCATCTCCTTGAATGTTCAATATTACGAGTTCCACGATTTTCATCTCAGGTCACAAGTCTTGCGTAAAAGAGGTACGATTTTCATCTCAGGTCACAAGTCTTGCGTACAAGAGGTACTAGATTTATACTATTTTGATGTTTTTTCGAGTGGGATCGATCTAAATTATGTTATATGTGCGTAGGTGGTGTTTATGAAACTTTATTGCCAAAGGAAGAAGACTTCTCAAGTGCCATGTACACCTTCGATATCGGCCAAAATGATCTCTCTGCCGGTTACTTCTTGAACATGACTGTCGACCAAGTTAAGGCTTACGTTTCCGATGTGCTTAATCAGTTCCGGATTGTAATTAAGGTTAATAAACAAATCTTTCGAACCAAATGTTCGAACTTTGAATAGATTAAGCTTTGGTTATTGATCTTTCATTGCAAATTTTGTATGTAATTTGCAGTATATTTATGACATAGGAGGCAGATACTTTTGGATACACAACACAGGTCCGGTGGGATGTTTACCGTACGTCATGGAGCGGATACCGGTGTTGGCCAGTCAGATCGACCAATACGGATGTGCTTCGCCGTTAAATGAAGTGGCACGATTTTTCAACGGTGGATTGAAAACACAGTTGAACAATTGCGCAAAGATTTGCCACATGCTGCAATCACTTATGTGGATGTTTACTCGGTGAAATATTCACTTATCAGCCAAGGAAGAAAGTATGGTGAGTCCATTTCTTTTTTAAACTTACAAATTATATCAAACTACAACTAAAATTCATCAAAATTAATTATTAAACTCATTAGAGATGAGCAAAACTTGATTCAACTTGATTTTTTTTTTGAATTATTTGAGTTCACTCGAATTTTAATTTCGGTTTTCGAGTTTGGATTTATCAAATTTGAATCACACTCTCTTAAACCATAATAGAATATTTATGTAGCTTCAATTCTTCTTTCCGAAATCTTTTTTTCAATTTAATCCCTAAACTTTGCATGATTTCTTTATTTCTTCAATTACTCCTTTTTAAGTTTATTTTTTGATAAAATTTAAACCACATACTCTTCTAATACTATACAACACTTGGACTAATTCAAAATTTTTGAACTCAACTCGATCTAATACTCACTCCTAACACTCAAAACACTGAAGCAAAACCGATAAATGAGAACACATCTAAACAACGTACATGGTGGGATTGTGTTTGACAAATGGATTATATGTGGAAAATGCAGGGTTCAATCAAACTTTAGAGCATGTTGCGGCCATGGCGGGAAGTACAATTACAACAAGAAATTGGGGTGTGGAGGAAAGGTTCATAAACATGGGAAAGATGTATTAGTGCGGCTCCATGCAAGCATCCTGCCACTTATGTCAATTGGGACGGAATACACTTTACCCAAGGAGCTAACCGCTACATATTTGATCGTATCGTCCATGGTTCATTTTCAGACCCTCTCAATCCCTTAAACATGGCTTGTTATAGGAACTAAAAAAGGGGGAGCTCAACTCTTCTTAACTATTATTATGAAAAATCATAAATAATAATAATTTTATTTAGAAATTCAAGAACAAATTTATATATAGTAATGTTTCTTATTTTGTGGGTTTCTGTTTGAAATTTGAAAGTTTAACGTTGGCATAAATCCCTAGGGTGCTTGTGATATATGATTATAAATCTATATGACGTGCTTAGTGAGAAACACTTGAAAATAATAATCTTGTTTGTTTTATATGGGTGTAGCTACAATAAATAAATAGAGTGATTGAGGTTAAAAACATTTGTATTTATTGATTCAGAATAAATTATTTTTTCCTTTGTATTCTACACCTTTTTGAATATTTCGAACATGTTCAGCTTAATAGAATCTGCAATGTGTGTGTTGGGGAATGGATGTGCTTGTTAAATCTGCTGCTACATAGTATTTGTACCCATGAATCTGGTTGTTTTACAAAAATTAACAATCTTTATGATAAATAATAACGGAAGCACGATTAAATGTTACATTTGAAGTGATTTAAATCAATTATCATGACCGTAATATCATCTAAACTGCCCCTATTCACAGCAAGGCTTACCAGCTCCTTGCAAGCAGCCATGATACCAGCTGCAGATGATGGTTTCTTCTTGAAACTGGTGTTTTCTTGAGTAGGCGACTCGAGTTTCGTGCTTATCCGCTTCACCATCGAAATCCTGCGAAACTTCGACGGCGGACTTCTGTTTTCACAAGCAAAGACATCTCGATCATTATCTTTCCAACCATCAATATTGTTCTTGTACCTAGGGGATTGACATGTGTCTTTCTGTTGCTGCTTAACCAATGAAATTCTCCGTATCTTCGATGGACTTACACTCACACGCCCATAATCCTCATCGTTTTCTTTACTATGACCTCCATTGTTGTCGGTTCTTTTTGCGACAGATAGTCGTGTCACGGTGTCGATCGCTTCCTGTTCGCTAACCTGATTCAACAGCCAAGTGATTCAAACAGCTAACAACATGATAAATGCAGTGCAGTGAAGTTTACAGACCGTTTCTTACCTCTTCCCAAAGACCATCAGAAGCCAAAACAAGGTACTCCATATCTGGTGTCAACTGAAAAACTTTTGTGTCAGGCTCAGCCACCACCCAGTCCTTCAGATGGGCATCTCCGATACTTCGAGAGACGGAGAGTATCCCGTGAACCCTCCAAGCTCCTCGGTGAAACTCGACATATCCTCCCTATGTGCCACCAATGTCAACATAAACAATGGGAATCATATCAACAAGCTACCCAGATTATGTATTTTTTGTGTGTAAGATATGGCACCTTATTCTCAATTCTTGTTCTTTCATCTTGTTGCTCAGCTTTATGATCTGTTGTAAGGGCTTCAGCTACTCCTTCTCTACTTAAAACAGCCCTGCAATCTCCCAAGTTTGAAACAACAATGGCATCACCTTCAATCAATGCTGTGACACAGCAGGTGCCACTGACCATATCCTGTAAAGATTACAATTCTAACATTCAAATCAGTAGGATTTGATAATTGCCATGCTCTATGTGCAGAAGGGTGCAACTATTGTTCAAAATTCGAATGAGAACGCCCTTAGGAAGGTCCTAAACCCTAAACCAAGAAGCAAATGGGCATAGGTAAAGATTGAATTTTGAATTCAAAGTAGCCATAATGCTATTACCTTCTTCAAGAACTCCTCATCTGTTTTAAGGTAACCAGACTTGACTGCCTCCTCCTTCTCATCATTTCCTTTACAATCCTTCAGCATCTCAAACAAATTATTGTGCAAGTTTTGTGCAACAAAATCAGCAGCATCCTTCCCTCCATGTCCATCATAAACGCCAAAGAATGCCTACAATAAACACAAAACACCCCAAATTTTGCTCATTGGAAAGGCCAAAAGGTTGATTTTTTTCTTTTTACAAAACAAAAACAACCCATTTACAAACACTACCTTGTTTGAGTTCCCATGGAGACAAGAAACGATCTTGTGTGCATCTTCCATGAACTTCTTCTTCCCCTTGACAGAGTAAACAGCCACACCTAACCCACTGAAGCAAACGGTGTCGTCCCGTGGGGTAAAGTCTTTAACTTTAAGGGAGTTGACTTGGATTTCTTGCAAGACATTCGGGATCTCAATGGTCGGCGGCCTTTTCCGTTTCAGATTACAATAAAGAACAGGTTGTTCGTGAGGCTTCTCATTTGGCTGAAGTGAAACTGAAGAAGGTTTATTGGTCATATTTTATAAATCAAACTGAAGCAAACGGCTAATGAAAAAGAAGAAGAAGAAGAAGAAAGGGGATACAAGCTTAGATTTTATAGATGTTTTGGTTTTACTGATGTTTTTTGAGCCGTTGGGGGGCTGGCGGAGATTGGTCAAAAGCTTTGAATCTTTGCTTGGTGGGGACTGAGAGGGGGAAACGTTCTAAATTTTGGAATTTGAGATAAGACTTGAATAGTTTAAGGCTTTATTCCCGGTTTGGTCCTTGAATTATAACTACATCTCAATTTGATACCTTAATTATTGCTGTATAATAATTGGATGCATAATAAATGCAATTCACCCAACAACATTTCAAATAAAGTTGAAGATTTATTAAATAATTCAAAAGAAAGTAGGCATTTCCTTTTTACTATAATGCAGATATAAGATGATAGCAATTGCATACATTACCTGTCTCGCCTATTTCCTCTACCTACTATTACATAAAGTATGATTAAGACCAAGACACATTGATGTATATCGGATAAGTAATAAAGAATTTGATATTTTCAAAGTAAGATTACTTGGAAATGTAAAGAATTTTATATTAGATAAGACTTGCTCCGTTTAATTTGGTTTAATTTGTGAGTATTTTTTTAAATACAATTCTATCGGTAGAATACAATTCTATCGCCTATTTTCAAATTATGATTTTTATTTTAAATTAATTCATAAAAGTTTTAAATGTTATAATTTCGTCCCTAAGCTATGACTATCATTCTAAATTAGTCCTCAAACTTTTGAATATTTCATTTTCATGTTTAAAATTTTGAATTTTTATTTTCATCCTCGAATTTTTGAATATTTCATTTTCATTCTCAATCTATGACCTTCATTCTAAATTGTTCCCTGAACTTTCGAACATTTCAATTTCATCCCAAGCTATACGTATATACTAATCACATACATAAAAAATTTATTGACTGAGCCAATATAAACATAATAAAATGCTTATCTAATATTTCTCATATATATAAGAATTTATATTAATAAAATAACGTAGTTCGGAATATAATATTTTCATCGATCAAGATGAACTCTCTTTTTCATAGGACCAAAATCATCTATGATCGAGGAAAAAGAAGTAATAATAATTTTGATTGAATAAAATAAGATATGAGGCGTATCTTTTAAATTTTGATTATAACCTTGTAGGTGGTGTTGAAAAAAAATACTAAACAAACGTTAATAACACCACAAATTGATAAGTAATTAAAGAACGAAATAAAAATTAAGTATGAAAATTCAGAAAAAAAAAGTAATAAAAAACTAGAAGAAGAACATCAAAGACTTTAAATTTTAGTTAAGATACTCGATTACCTTCAAGTTAAAAAAAAGAATTATTTGAATTTAAAAAGTGCATAATGAATATAAATAAACAAGAAAGAGAGAGCATGATATTGTATAATTTATAAGATTTTGAAGAGATAAAATTATAGTTAATTTTAAAATTAAATAAGACTCTAATTAATTTAATTTTGATAAAATAGAATTATAAATAAATTATATTTAATAAAATTATAAAATTTTTGAAGAGATAAAATTATAGCTAAATTTAAAATTAAATAGGACTCTAATTAATTTAATTTAAATTTAATAAAATTATATTTTTTATTCTCTTAGCATGGAGGCGGCCATGGCCTAGGTCCGCCCCTGGCATCCTTTGTAAATAAAATGGTTAGGCAAAGTTATATTATTATATGTTTATAAAAATAAAATAAAATTTAAGTTAAATTATGCTTGAAACTGTTTATATATTTGGATGAATTTGGAGATGAAATTGAAATATTCAAAAGTTTGGGGACTAATTTGGAATGAAAGTTATAGTTTGAGGATGAAATTACAATATTCAATAGTATAAAGACTAATTTGAAATAAAAGTCATAATTTGATGATAAAATTAAAATATACAAAAGCGTAAAAATAAATTTAAAATAATAACCATAGTTTGGAGACAAATGATACAACTAACTCTATCATGATATATCTTATCGTTACTAGTCATTATAAAATTTTAAAATTTTTTATGATCATTAAAAATAATATTTATGACAAATAATTATTTCTGTAATCGTTACTGACTTTTATCCTTAATTTGAACATGTAAATAAAAATTGTTTTTATTTCTAAAAGATACAACTACCAAAGTAATTTTTCTATGACTTTATCTTATCTTTTTAAAAAATAAACCTGTTTTTATTATTGTTTTTTATTATCATATTGTTATTTTACTTTTTACTTATATATTAATCTTGAAAGATGACGTTTATTTTAACTTTTATATTAATTAATATGGATTAATTTTTAAGACAATTATTTGTACTTTAATGGTTGTTCCTTGTTCCCATATGTAATGGGGGTAAAGGAGAGGTAAGATAGTAGGTTGCTCCCAACACTTGGTTGAGAGCAACTTCCGTAGGAGACCTCCAGATTATGAAATACTCTCCATGAGACTCGATCCCACAACCTCAAGGTTAAATAAATCACCTAACAAAAAAAGACATTTATTAAGCATATTAAAGGTAAATATGAGAATATGAGTCTGGTTTTTGGTATATAAGTTAAACAACTATTGCAATATTCATTTCTGATGGCATAATTTTTTTTTTATCAATAATGGACTTGTTCCAATGTCGGATTGTCGGTGACGATGCCGAGGTTGGTGTATGGTAAGTAGCCATACGACAAAGACTGGACAATTTGCTGCATGGTAGATGTCTTTGTGGTGATTTTAATTAAAGATTTATATTATAATTACGTTTTTGAATTTATCATAATTATGAACGTAACGAATGTTATTATAATAATTATGATATCACAATTACGTAATCACAGTTTTAATAGATATCATTTCTATTATCTATCTGCCGTTAGTTTAATAGTGAATCGATGTTTTGGTTTTAATTTTTAAAAAAATAACAAAGCTTTGCGATGTTTCAATTTTCATGAGTGGACAATGAATCAGCAATTAACGTAAAGTTCCGCCACAAGCTCCCACCTCATTGGCCCTAACAACCGTTCACAGCACACGTGCCATCTCTACTTTAAACCCTTTTCCATCAACTGAAAACGCCACCACAACCGGTTCCGGATATTTCTTTTTAATTCAATGATTAATCCTATCATCTTCCACAAATCCCACACGTGTACCCAGTGAGTCCGCCCCTGGTTAGCACACTGGTTTCTGCCATGCCTCGTGTCAATTTATGATTTTATCAAACTACTTCCTTTACGTTGCTAAAAGGGCAACCTTTGTTAATGTTTTATACGGGCAACATACCTTTGCTTCCCTCCCTTCCCTTCCTTTGTTCTGTCTTCCTCAGCTGCAAAATCTGATTATTTCCACTTTAGGAATTTTTATTGTGTATTTGTTTAATTTATTTGCTTTGGTGGGACAAAAATCACAACATCATGGGCTTGTCGAATTTCCCTAGCTCAGCCGAAGGTGTGCTTCCGGTGCTTGTAATGAACACCGTTCTCTCGGTGGCTCTGTTGAAAAACATGGCGAGATCTTTACTCCAAGTCCTGGATTCATCTTCTTCTTCGAATTTAGATATCGAGGAGTACCCGGTTGGGTACCCAGAACAAGAGACGATGAACGATGCAAAGGAGAGGAGGATATCAATAACTCAGTTCAAGTCTTTGTGCCACGACCGGTGCTCGTCGTCGTCACCGTCGTCATCTGAAGATTCGGTTCCCGTAAGGGAGGCTTGTTGTGTGTGTTTGAGTGGTTTTGAAGCTGATGAGGAGGTGAGTGAGTTGTCCTGCAAACATTTCTTCCACAAAAGTTGCTTGGAGAAATGGTTTGGGAACAAGCACAGTTCATGCCCTCTCTGTCGATCTATTGACTAAAATTTCTCTTTTTTTTTCCTAGAAGATTAGAATTCGAGCAATTGTGTTATTAGAATATGTTTTTAATAGATTAAGAGAAATTCTGAACAGATATTACTTTGATTAGATTCGGTAGTATAAACAATCTTTGGCTATATATTTCTATATGTACACATATATCAGATAACAAAATAAAAGTTGTAGCAGTATCTATATAATCAGAAGAATTCACTCGTTTTCTCTCAAACAATTTCCGGGTAAAAGAAGCTTGTACTTATCTGCATTCTGCTGAAGATACAATGGAAAATGAATAGCCGAGAAGGAATGAGGAACAGGTCCCATCCTATTTTCCCGATTATTTCCTTGAATGTGCGCTCTTCCGGAACCATGACGAATAGATCAGAACCCTTGCAAATTACTCTTCTGAACTCTCTTCGGGTTCAAATAACGGGAGAATCTCACTCGATCGTTATGACTATAAGCTTTCATCTTAGATACGAACTCATCGATGAGACAAACAAAAACTGCAGTGCCATCCTGCATCGGCTAAAATCTCGTCCGTCTGCGGATAATGTGCATGCCTTGTTTTGCAGGTCCGATGCTCTCCAGCTGTTGTTATCTACAAGGAACTCGAAAGAATAAAGATAGTTCTTCAGCCGAAGATGAATAACTTGAGGTATGCCATCACACCACCTAAGGAGGTTGATAGTATGCCGGCTAGGTATCTCATCGACATCTGACATGATCAACAAGGCATCATCGGAAATTCCGGCCATTTTGAGAAGCTGGTCCAATGTTAGTCGCTGCAGAGCCTCTTCAACAAAAGGGTTCTCTCCGTTCTTGAACCTTACTCCGATTGACCTGTTAGTCAACTCGGCTCAACGAACTTGAATCGATCTCGATGGCTAGCGAAAACCATAGGATTCTGAATCCCGGTAAACGTCGAATTAGACTGAGAAGAACTAAATCTGTTACGTAATGGCACAATTATTGCCATCGAATTGTAAGAACATCGACTTCATTACTAAACAACACAGCATCGTATACCCGTCTTGGAAATTCACGAACTCTCCAACCATGAAGTTTGCAGAGTTTCTCCATCGTATACCAGACGTGCAAATGCTTGGGTGGCGATTCCCATAACGGCCGGAGAAAGTACGAAATATTCTGCCCGTGAACATATACACCGAACACGTAGGTCGGAACGAGTATAAATAGAAGAACATAAGTTTTCAAATCAGTGCCGCGCAGTAAGCATTGTAACTTTGTTCAATTCGATTAATAATTTAGTTTTCAATTCGATTAATAATTTAGTTTGATTAACAGTAAAAATATTTGATTAATTTGGTTTTAATTAATTAAATTCGGTTCGTGATTGAATTCACCGATTCAACATCCCTAAACAGGTATGTTTTTCAATTCCCCAAACCAAAAGCAGAGGCATTCGCTCAGAATTTAATCAAAACCCAGAAACCAACCAGATTCGCAGGCAACACCGATCAGCTAACTTGAAGATTAAAAGCTGAAAGAGTTCACAAAAATCTTCAACCCCATTGACATTAAAACCCAAGAATTTAAGCATGAAGAAACAAAAAGAAAGTGTTATCAGAATAGTGAAGTACCTGGACACAAATATCGCCACAGATATCATCAGTTTTCTTGGAACAATAATGGCCTCCTCCTCCATTCGTCATCCACTTATCTGTAAATTCTCTCTGAAACCAGGGGCCAAAGAATGAAACTTTTTCTCGAAAAACAAGTAAACGGAAAATATCTAGCTTTGATAGTTCGTTTAATATACAAAATTAATAATAATAATTAGGCTTATTAATGAAAAATATAAGAGAATAAATATTTTTAAAATATAAAAAAAAGAGCTGGTGCTTCTCTGTTGACGGGTGGCAGTTGTAAAGACAAACAATACCCATCGAGAAAGAAGGATAAATTATCTGGGATTTTTGGTCACTGAAGTTATTTTCTCTTCTTTAAATTATGTATGCATTACTTAAACATAAGTACTCTAGAAATAATAATATTTACTTTTATATTAAATTCAATTAATAAATTCTTAATTTTAATAGTTAAATTATTACTTATCCCCTTTGACTTGATAATTAAATATTTTGTTCACTTCAACATTTCGAGATTTTTTCTTAACAGTTTGAGATCTTACAAGGTAGTATATGTTTAGAATTTTTTTAATTAATTGATAACGCATATACATCTTATAGACACAATTGCTCAAATTTAAAACTTTTACAGAGAATGATATTTTTTTATTATTGAGACTGCTTGATGAGTTTGACATTTAAAATTTATTCAACACATGAAAAACATATTTAAACAATTATTTTGTCTGTTAAAATAAATTAGAATTTTAGAAAACAATTTTTTGAAATCATTTGATGTGTTTGGGTGATATTGCATAAATCATTTTTTTAATTTTCTTTCATTTGATAAAAAATTTAAATTTTATTTATTGTAAATATCAAATATAATATATAATATTATAAATTGTATAAACTTAATATTAATTTTTAGAAGATGGAGGAGTGACAAAAAAAATTAATGTCTAAAGGTTGAATTGAATTTTTTAAAATTTTAATGATCAAAATAAGAGTGAAAAGAAAACCGGTGATGAAATTTGTAATATACCCTTAACATAATCGAGCAAATATGTCCAAGAAAATCGTGCACCACTCTTGAAGCTCATTCCTCATTGTAATGGCGAGGGATCAATTTTGGACGTTATAAAAGATCCAGCATAAAACAATATCTGGATAAAATTGTCAATTTAATTATAATCAGATCATTAATAAAAAAATATTATAAAAATTTAAAAAAGATATCAGTTTGGAAATAATTGAAAGAGAAATGATTTTGAGTGAGAATTTTGACGTGTGGTGTGAGTGAGTAACCAAAAAGGCGCAGACCCAATCCTGATGTAGTGTCGTTTGGGCTTTGCCTTTGTTTTGTTTTATACGCAAACAATTTAGTAATTGTCCGTCCAGTTCAGTTAGTAAAGCGCAAGGCTCTTAATTTTGTGGTCGTGGGATCGAGTTCTACGGTGATCAATTCATAATTCTGATTGCTGGAAGTCTTCTACGGAAGCTGCTCTCAACCTGACGTTAAGGACAACCTACTATCCTATCTTCTCTTCACCCCATTATATATGTAAATAGGGTTAGCTAATTTAATTTAGTAATGCTGATGAAGCTGCTGCCATTGTCGCCTACTTTTCTGGGCATGGACTAGTTTTGTGGTGATCAGCAGCAACTCAACACCGTCCTACTCGGACTCTTATCTTATATATTACTCTCTTCCATCAACTTGGGATTTGTTAAAGTGGTATTTTACCTAAAGATTTTACTATTAAACAAAATGTAACATTAGTTTAAAGAAAGTGATGTTGATGATATAAAGAAACAACTAATCTAATCTTTAAAATCCCTTCCATGTGGCGTTAGCTAATATAATTATATTTGTAAATTATATAATTATTTTATAATTTATTGTTAATTAAAATAATTTTTTCCTTGTAAAGTTTTTGTGTAAATCTATATTATTATTTCAAACATCAAACCTTAAAATCCAGTCGAATGACACGTATCTGCTCTCAAACATCAAACCTCTAAATTATTTTATTATTCTTTTAATATGACACGTCATTTTTATTATTATTTAATATAAAAAATTTAAAATATAAAATTAAAACCAGACGGTGGCCTTCCACTATTCGTCGTCATTGGATGCCACCGTCGACGGGCGTAGATGGTGGGTGTTCGGTCCCATATTTCATCAGCCCGCTTTGTCTTAACCCTTTGAGTCTGAATTCGACCTCAATGTGTCGGAACATGCTCTGAATATGATCAAAAGTGAGGAAGCCGAAACATCGAGGCCGTAGATGATGGTCGTTCGATCTCATATTTCATGGGTCGCTTTTCCTCAATCCCTTGAGTTCAAATCTGACCTCCATTTTTTCTGAATATGCTCCGAATTCCATGAATTGGAGATCAAAAGTGAGGAAATCAAAATGTTTCCAGTCGATATTCATGGGTTTTGGGATATTTTTCTGTGAAACAACCACTCGATTCAAACCCAGCGTGTCAAAGCGAGTCTCTCGGTACAATTTGGGATCAAATGGTTGATGATTCTGAAGGCCAACGATGGTCGACTGTGACGAGAAAGGGAATTTAATAATAAAATAATTTATAATGATCAAAATAGAAGCAATTCAAAAGTTCAGTGAATAAATTAAAAAAATTAAAAGTACAATGAATAAAATAGAATATAATGTAAAATGCAACGATAAATGACATAGTTTATCCATCAAAAGATGAATCGATCTAAATCTACTTTGATTGTATTTAGTGATGGATCGAAGAGACGATCTCGTCGATTATTCTCTAAAAAAATTTAAATTCACTATTTTTATTTAATGCCTTGAACATTAATTATTTTGTTAAGAGTACAATGTGTTAGTAGTAAATTCAGCACTTGGATTTTCAGTTTCTTAGCTGAATAGATCATATTTTGGATGGATTTTTCTCTGCTCAACAATTAGATATTATCGATCAACTACAACCGATGGAGATAATGTTATTGATGACTTGGGTAGACGAATGTCATCTATTTTTACCATGTAATGGAATGATACTTTAAGTATCGAAATGAGAAAATGGGTATAATTTAAGGGTTAAATTGTAAATAAATATTTTCATTTTTTTATCCGAGATCTTTGGCTTTTCAATAATGAGGTAAAGCTGAAAAATCCAATTTTGAGGTGTCAAACTCATCCTGCCTTAACCATGCGTTGCAAGCGGATCTTTTGGCAAGCATGTCAGAGGTGGTGGCCTGGTGGGTTAGTTGGGTAGCTAAATCCCATCATTTAAAAACCGCAAATTGTGCTTTTTTTCATGCTTTAAAACGCTATTGTCGATTGACTAATTGCTCCTACTTGTCCATTAACCACAGTAATCTTATTATTAACATAGTAATTAACGTATAATTTGACTAAACATAATACATAAACTGCTCAAAGGTCACCGTTTTGCTTCAGTATTATTATTATACCTTTTTGATCTC